TACCAAATAGTGAACAAGAATAGAAGTTAGGGTCAGATTTGTTTGTCGCCGAGCCACAGTTGGAGATCGCTAAGCAATGATTATACCCCAAAACCTGCCTCCTCCCCATTTCTTTTTTTTTTTTTTTGTTGAACAGAAGTCTTGCTCTGGTCGCCCAGGCTGGGGTGGCAGTGCCATGATTCAGCTCATGCCAAGCTCCGCTCCCGGTTTACGACCAATTCTCCTGCCTGCAGCTCCGTCCAGTAGCTGGGACTACAGGCGGCCTCGCACCCGTCGCACCGCTAGTTTTTTGTTATGCTAGTTTTTTGTATTTTTTAGTAGAGACGGGGTTTCACCGTGTTAGCCAGGATGGTCTCGATCTCCTGACCTCGTGATCCGCCCGTCTCAGCCTCCCAAAGTGCTGGGATTACAGGCTTGAGCCACCGCGCCAGGCCCCCATTCTTATAGTCCCTGCCAGAGGTCCCTTACTTCACCACCATCCCCCCAATGACTCGAGTTGCCAATCTCCAGTTGCACTTCCACATCAGTTGATAGAGTGACTGGACACTGCATGACTCAATAAAGAGGGCAAAACCTACCTCCAATGGCCTGGCATTGAGAGCCCTCTGTGTCTGTGCCCCACCTGTTTCTGTCTCTTTTTTTTTCTTTTTTTGAGACGGAGTTTCACTCTTGTTGTCCAGGCTGGAGTGCAGTGGCGCGATCTTGCCTCACTGTAACCTCTGCCTCCTGGGTTAAAGCAATTCTCCTGCCTCAGCCCCCCAAGTAGTTGGGATTACAGGCACCCACCACCACGCCCGGCTAAATTTTTGTATTTTTAGTGGAAACAGAGTTTCACCATGTGGGACAGGCTGGTCTCGAACTCCTGATGTTAGGTGATCCACCCACCTGCGCTTCCCAAACTGTTGGGATTACAGGCGTGAGCCACCGCGCCCAGCCCCATCTCTCTGCCTCAGGAGATTTGTGCTGTGGTGTGTGGTTCTTCCCCAAGCTGTTTCTTACTGTCAACTGGGAAACTTAATTAAAGAGCCCAACCTTGGAAATCCTGACTTAGTAGACTAAGGTGGAGCCTGGACAATTTATTTGGTAACACATTTTCTTGGGTAATTCTGATGAGTATCCAATGACAAGATCTACTGCAGTAGCCAAGCTGAATCACTGGCTGTTCCAGTGCTACACCAGCTTCTCTCACCCTTTGGTAATTCTTTGTACATGCTACTTTTACATTATCTACATTTCTTGTTCTTCTTCTTCTTTTTTTTTTTTTCTAAGAGGGAGTGTCGTTTTATTGCCCAGGCTGGAGTACAGTGGCTTGATCTTGACTCACTGCAACCTCCACCTCTTGGGTTCAAGTAATTCTCCTGCCTCAGCCTCCCTCGTAGCTGGGACTACAGGCATACGCCACCATGCTCAGCTAATTTTTTGTATTTTTAGTAGAGATTGGGTTTCACTATGTTGGTCAGGCTGGTCTCGAACTCCTGAACTCAAATGATCCGCCCACCCCAGCCTCCCAAAGTACTAGCCACAGTGCGCAGTCCACATTTTCTACATTTCTTAGTCCACTTGGTGAACTCTTCCTCCTTCCGGCCTCATATGTGTATTTTCTGCCTCTTCCAGGGTTAGAGCTCTGCTCTCTAGGAGCATCTTGGACATGCGGCAAGATCTGCCGTCATGATTTGTTTCCATGACCTACTCATTTAGACTTTGAGCACCTTTAGGAAAGCAGAATTGTCTTTGGGCCCCAGTGATACTTGTTGAAATTGTTAGTTCGGTAGATGAGTACATTCAAAGGGGAAGAGGCAGGTGGATCACCTGAGGTCAGGAATTTGAGAGCATCCTGGCCAACATGGTGAAATTCTGTCTCTACTAAAAACACAACAAGATTAGCCGGGTGTGGTGGCACATGCCTGTAGTCTCAGCTACTTGGGAGGCTGAAGCAGGAGAATGGCTTGAACCTGGGAGATGGAGGTTGCAGTGAGCTGAGATCATGCTACTGCACTCCAGCCTGGGCGACAGAGCGAGATTTCCTCTCAAAAAAAAAAAAAAGAGGGAAGGAAGAGGTAGCGTCTTTGACCTTTGAGCTTTTCGGGCCCTGGGCCTGGGTCTGACTTGCTGTAATGGGTTGTATGTGCTCTAGTTGCAGGAGATCACATTTAAGAATTACTACACAGCTTTTTTGAGCATCCGTGTCCGTCAGCACACCTCTGCACACACACCTGCCAAGTGGGTGACCTGCCTGCGGGACTACTGTCTAATGCCCGACCCACACAGTGAGGAGGGAGCCCAGGAGTATGTATCGCTGTTCAAGCATCAGGTCAGCTGGGCCTCAGGATGGCCAGGGCAGCCCAGATGAGGACTTACCAGAAGTGGGGGGATTGGGTCAATATACCAAGAGGGAAGAGGGAGCCAGTCTGGCCTGGACTGTGGCTTTCAGGGAAGTGCCTTGGAGGGACTATTGTTCCTTCCTTCCCAAAGGCCTGCGGGGTGGGCAGCATTCTGGCTCATTGCTGGTTGGGAGGCTTCTGGGCAGTGAGCTGGGTCCTCGCTGGGTCCTTATGTGTGTGTGTCAGATGCTGTGTGACATGGCCAGAGTATTGGAGCTACGCCTGATTCTGCGGCAGCCATCACCACTGTGGCTGTCTTTCACAGTGGAGGAGCTGCAGATCTATCAGCAGGGACCAAAGGTAAGTGACTAGCTGAGCTGCTGGCTGGCCCTTTCCCCAGAAAGTGCCTATGACTGGGAAAGCTGGGTGGTGGGGTGGGTAATGGGTAAAGATTGTGAATGGGGCCTTCATGGAGGTTAGCTGGGTGTGAATGCTGGAAGCTTACAATGAGAGATGAGGCCATGTCCCCATATCCCCTGACCTTTGGGACCATCTGCTTCTTTCAGAGCTGGAGCCTTTAGGTTCTGGGAGACACTTTTGAGCTTGTGTTTCTGAGGACTCTGTCTGCACAGCAGGAGAACTTAGGTAGTCTGACTGCCCCTTTAGGTCTCTGTGGGCTCCCTAAACAGGGTTTTCCCAGTGTCTGAGGCTCAGGGGCCTTTCTCTCTGCTCCTAGGACCTTGGAATCTGGTCCCAGAGCTGTCCACTTTGTCTCACTCAGGGCAGTACATCTTTGCTTTGCAGAGCCCCTCCATGACCTTCCCCAAGTGGCTCTCCCACCCAGTGCCCTGTGAGCAACCTGCACTCCTCTGTGAGGTAAGCCCTCACCCTAGGTAAGAACCACGTATGAATGGCTCTAGTGTCCAGCACAGGCCAGGTGGACCCCTTCCTGTAAAATTCTGGGGCTAGGCCCAAGGCCCTTGGGTGTTATCTTCCTCTTGGGTATTCTTTGGGATTTGAGGCATCTCTGTTGTGGGGCTACATCAGGCCCTAACCTCACATTTCATGAGCCATCTGAGAATGTTGTTGGTCTCAGCTGGAGGGCCCCTAGCCCAGGTTGGCCTCTCTAGAGCCCTAAGGGCACTGCTGGGGAGAGACCCATGGCCACTGACCCCTCCTTCTGGAGCAGGGTCTCCCAGACCCCAGCAGGGTATCCTCCGAGGTGCAGCAGATGTGGGCACTGACAGAGATGATCCGGGCCAGTCACACCTCCGCGAGGATCGGCCGTTTTGATGTAAGTAATCGCTTCCCTCTGCTTGGCTTGCTTTGCCCTGAGCAGATCAGACCTCATGGTCTTTTGTATTTCAGGTGGATGGCTGTTATGACCTGAACTTGCTCTCCTACACTTGAATGGTGGCTCCTACCCAAGATGTTGGCCTTTCCGTGCCCACCCAGACTTGGTTTGGGCCACCAGAGGCTGAAGTGGGTTTCCTGTGTATTCCGAATGTTGCCTGCATGCCTATTCTGTCTGGGCCACGTTCACAGATTCAAGATTCTCGGGGGCTCACTGTGTTACTTCAGCATGAGCTCCTGGCAGGGGGGGGTGCTCTGTCTTCACCTGGCTGCAACTCAATTCTTCCTTCTACCCAAAAACACTCCAGTCAATTGTACTTACTGAGAATCCCTGAGTGCCCTCTGCCCATCCTGCCAACATGCACATTCCTGTCTTCTGCCTGCTCCCTCACCTCAGTGCAGTTGGGCTGGGCTGACCTACTAGAACCTGCTCCATGTATGAACCTGGAAGGCCATTGCTGCCATGGCATTTGGGACACTTGAGGAAGAAACAGAAACCTTATTTCTTCCTGTGAGTCCCCTAGTGGTTTTCTTTCCAGTTGTATTATGCCACAGAAATAAATTTCTTGTCTAAACTCTTCTGCTACCTGCCTAGGAAGGAAACCTGAAGATTTGGGCAGCCTGAGTCTCTCAGTTTCTGAGCTGGCTCCTGAATATATGTTCAAGTGGGTGTGCCCATAGGGCCTGGGCAGGTGTCTCTAGCAAAGCCAGGGCCTGAGAATAAGAACTGGAACCCTTCCAGCCCGGGTGCAGTGGCTCACACCTGTAGTCCCAGCACTTTGGGAGGCTGAGGCAGGTGGATCACCTGAGGTCGGGAGTTCGAGACCAGCCTGAACAACATGGAGAAACCCCGTCTCTACTAAAAATACAAAAAATTAGCTGGGTGTGGTGGTGGGTGCCTGTAATCCCAGCTACTCGGGAGGCTGAGGCAGGAGGATCTCTTTAATCTGGGAAGTGAAGGTTGTGGGGCTGAGATCATGCCATTCCATTCCAGCCTGGGCAACAAGAGTGAAACTCCATCTTAAAAAAAAAAAAAAAAGAACTGGGACCCTTCTGCCATCTGACATAGTCCAAAGCACATCCCTATCCTTTCTCCCAGTTATCCCACTCCTTTTTTTTTTTTTGAGATGGAGTTCTGCTCTTGTTGCCCAGGCTGGAGTGCAATGGTGCAATCTCGGCTCACTGCAACCTCCACTTCCCAGGTTCAAGCGATTCTTCTGCCTCAGCCTCCCGAGTAGCTGGGATTACAGGCATGTGCCACCACACCTGGCCTGCCCCTTTCCAAGAGAGATGCTCAGCATGATGAGAGATCAGCCATGGTAGGGAATGGGTCCAAGTAAGGGTTTGCATTGTTGCCTTTTAAGAGGCCTAGGTCCTCCATTAACTCAGGCCAACCATTAAGTGATGCAGGCTGCTCTTCCTTCATGTGAGAAAAACCTGTTTCCCTCTGGTTCTTCCTGGCTTTGCACCTGGTGGCTATTATGAAGCAGTACTGCAGTATGTCTTGGACCTGGAAAGTTGGACATGTGTGCGGCTCAACAGTTTTCTGGGAAGAGTTCAGTGACCTTTTGGTGGCCACCCTCTGCTCTCACCTATGAGTTCTTGCAGGTGGCGACTTTACCTGCAAGGTCACTTACATAGCCCCACTCAGCTGCTTTGGAAAGCATGATGGAGCAGTAGTCCTCAATGTGTGTGTGAGTGAAGAGGACCTTGTGGTAGCAGGGACCATGCTTCATTTGTGGCTGTGTCCCCATCCGAGGGCCTGGTATGCAGTAAGATCAATACATACTTGTGGAATGCATGACTCTGCTGGCTGCCTGTGTCTGCCTGGTGGGAGAGCTGTGGACCTAGAGATCCACATGAGGCCAGACTACTGTGGTGCTGCCTACCTGCCAGGCTGGCTCCACCCTGCTGTGACCTCTCCACCTTCCCCACCCCTACTTGACCTTACTCCCTTGAGGTCCTAAAGGTATGATTCAGACCTTTCCGCCCTTTCTGGAACTTTGACTTTTTGGAGACAGGGCGGTTCTGCAGGGGGCAGTCTAGCCCCTAGCTCTCTTCTGGGCAGCCCAATCAGCTCTGGATTGCCCAAGCTGCCCTGAAAAACCAGCTGAAAGAGCCGGAGGCTGTTTCCCTGTGGTTGGGAGTTCCTGCATTCTCTGCTGTAAATCCCAGCCTGCCCTTGGGGCTGCCCACGCCCCCTTCAGATCCTTTGCTCCGGAGAGAGACCTGTCCGAGCAGAGGCCTGGACTACATCTCCCGGCGTGCCTGGCAGTGTGGTGTCCTCTGTGCGCCATCTGTGCTCGTTGCAGGCGACGATGCAGAGGGTTGTAAGTGTGGTGGCCCATCTGGGCTTTCGCTTGCAGGCATTGCCCCCGGCCTTGTGTCGTCCACTCAGTTGCGCACAGGTGGGATAGAGGGTGTTGATCTTGGAGGGTGGGGGAGGGAAGCGGCTGGGGGCTAGGGCCGTGGTGGCACTAAGCCCAGCCGCCCGCAGGACGTGCTCCGCAGGACACCGCTCTATGACTTCCACCTGGCCCACGGCGGGAAAATGGTGGCGTTTGCGGGTTGGAGTCTGCCAGTGCAGTACCGGGACAGTCACACTGACTCACACCTGCACACACGCCAGCACTGCTCGCTCTTTGACGTGTCTCATATGCTGCAGGTGAGCCAGGGGAGCACGCTGGCCGCCTGATCAGGCCTTCCTCCCTGTTTACAGTGGTGCACTCCTTGGCTTTGTTTGCTGTGAACTGGATTCCAAGGACAGCCCTCCCAGAAGAGCTAGAGGTCATGGGGGTGTCATGGATAGGTCAGTGGCCCCAAGGAAATAAGCTCAGAGGGTCTCAGCATCATCTCATCCTTCTAGTCTGCCCCCACTAAGTGGTGTGCCTTAATGTCCCAGGTTTTCCAGGGCTGACACCCACTCCCACATATTGGGCTGGGTGTTGGTTTGAAAAGGGGTTATTTCCGGTGGCTCACGCCTGTAATCCCAGCACTTTGGGAGGCCGAGGCGGGCGGATCACAAGGTCAGGAGATCGACACCATCCTGGCTAACACGGTGAAACCCCGTCTCTACTAAAACTACAAAAAATTAGCCGGGCGTGGTGGTGCGCGCCTGTAGTCCCAGCTACTCAGAGGCTGAGGCAGGAGAATGGCGTGAACCGAGGAGGCGGAGCTTGCAGTGAGCTGAGATCGCGCCACTGCACTCCAGCCTGGGCAACAGAGCGAGACTCCGTCTCAAAAAAAAAAAAAAAAAAAAGGAAAAGGGGTTATTTCAGAAAGGTGCTAGGTCCTGTCCAGTCCCTGGCAGTCCCCCAGCACAGAGTGACTGGGGGAGGTCAGGAAATCAGAAGGTGGTCCTTTACCACGTGTAGAACCAAAAAACTGGTTAGTCACTTTGGGTGGGCTGGACTGCACTGTGGATGGCAGGGAGGATGCATCCTAGATTAGTGGCCTTTTGGGTTGTAGCTGTTGCAATGGCCTGAGGCTTTCAATCTCTTCCCCAGACCAAGATATTTGGTAGTGACCGAGTGAAGCTGATGGAGAGTCTAGTGGTTGGAGACATTGCAGAGCTAAGACCAAACCAGGTGGGCCCTTTTATTTCTGCTCTATGAGTTTTCTTAGTCATGAGCCAGCAAATGGGCTTAGTCCCTACCTCAGGCTTAGGAGCACAGAGGTAAGTCAAACACAGCCTCTCGGGGCTTGCAGTCTTGGGGGACAGAATCCCTGAGTCATTTCCAGAGACCCAGACATTTGTAGAGAGGGGAATATCCCAGCCTTACTACATCAGGCTAGGATGCCAGAAACCAAGGTTAATATGCTGCTCTCTGGCCATCCCTTCTGTTTAACCCCTCTCTATTCAAAGTGTGGTCCCTGGCCAGGTGCCGTGACTCAAACACCTCCCAGCACTTTGGGAGGCCAAGGTGGGTGGATCACCTGAGGTCAGGAGTTCGAGACCAGCCTGACCAACATGGCAAAACCTCATTTCTACTAAAAATACAAAAATTAGCTGGGTGTGGTGGTGCGCACCTGTAGTCCCAGCTACTCGGGAGGCTGAGGTTGCAGTGAGCTGAGATCACACCACTGCACTCTGGCTTGGGCAATGGAGCGAGACTCAGTCTAAAAACAAAACAAAACAAAACAAACACAACAAAGTGTGGTCTGTAAACCAGCATCCTTCGAGCTTGTTAGGAATATACTCTCAGGCACTGCCCCAGACCTGCTGAATCGGAACCTTCATTTTAACAAGATCCCCAGGTGATTCATGTGACCCCCTCAACCTCAGGCTTTTTGTCCATCAGTGAGGAGGCTAAGGAAGTTTTTTGGGGGCATTGCTATGGAGTGCTTAGAAGAGCCTGGGATCATCAAGATGACCTTTGAAGCTTTTGTCCTGTGGTTGGCAAAACATGGGTTGAGTCGTCCCAGGTTTGGATAGGTGAAGCAGCAGGTCCTAGGTGTCAGAGATGAAGCACCAGATGGGGCTCTCAGTACAGAGTGGGGAGGGGTGCAGAGGTCTCACCAGATCAGGGAAGCACCCCAAGGTAGGGAGGGGATGAAAACTTACTTGGTGCATGAGGACCAAAGACCTTGGACTTGGGCCCAGACTTGCACCTTCACACCCTGAGTCCTTCACATTAGGGTTCATAACCTTTTGGTAGCTAAGTGGGTTCAGGGGTGTGTCTGGCTCACCCTTGGCCTTGCCCTCCACTTTTGTCCTAGGGGACATTGTCGCTGTTTACCAACGAGGCTGGAGGCATCTTAGATGACTTGATTGTAACCAATACTTCTGAGGGGCACCTGTATGTGGTGTCCAACGCTGGCTGCTGGGAGAAAGATTTGGCCCTCATGCAGGTACACCCCCTCTGTGTTCTAGGCACCTTGTCTTCCTTGTTCATAGAGCAGCATCCTTGTTGTCCAGGATAGGGTTGGCGCAGACAAGGGACCCGGACAGTGGCTCTTTGAGTGAAGGAACAGCTATAAGACTCAAGAGCAGGCCCACTCTGGAGCATGCCAGGGTTTGGTGGTGGGGGATTAGGCATGGGGAGGGGGGCTTGGCCCCTCTGGTGAGGGTGTGAGGTGGCAGACCTGGGGTTGGGTCATCTCTTATCACTTAGTAGCTATGTGACCTTGTAAGATGGGAACCAGCCTACTACCTTCTTTTTTTTCCTCCCTCCTCCTCCTCTCCACTGTCTTACTACTGTCCAGCTCTGCAGTGTCCAGCCCATGGTAGGTGCTCAGTAAGTGGCCCCAGATGTTCTTGTGGTGTTTCTGTCTTTTAGGACAAGGTCAGGGAGCTTCAGAACCAGGGCAGAGATGTGGGCCTGGAGGTGTTGGATAATGCCCTGCTAGCTCTGCAAGGTGAGAGGGCTGGGCTGGGGTTGGAGCCAATCTTTGCCTTACTGGCTTCATTGACTGCTTAGCACAGAGACTATACCAAGAAGAAGGTGTGGAAGGTGTGATATTTGTGTGCCATAATTTTAAGTTTGGTATCTTGCCCTCCTCCTACCTACTACAAGGCTCCATGGGCTAGGGACAAGGGCATCTTCTCCCACTTGCAGAGTAAGACTTGCTCAGGGCTTGTTCTGGTCCCTGAATAAGGCTTTAGTCCAGCTTTGAGGGGTGCTGGGACCTGAATTCTTGGTCACTGGCTCCCTGGGCCCAGGTCCCACTGCAGCCCAAGTACTACAGGCCAGCGTGGCAGATGACCTGAAGAAACTGCCCTTCATGACTAGTGCTGTGATGGAGGTGTTTGGTGTGTCTGGCTGCCGCGTGACCCGCTGTGGCTACACAGGAGAAGACGGTGTGGAGGTGTGTCAAGAAGTGGTGTAAGGGGCAGTACAGGGCACAAGATGCACATGAGGGGTGGAAGGTGTGTGGCACAGGGAGCTTCCCATCTGCCCTCTGGTGTTTCATACAGATCTCGGTGCCGGCAGCGGAGGCAGTTCACCTGGCAACAGCTCTTCTGAAAAACCCAGAGGTGAAGCTGGCAGGGCTGGCAGCCAGGGATAGTCTGCGCCTGGAGGCAGGCCTCTGCCTGTACGGGAATGACATTGATGAACACACTACACCTGTGGAGGGCAGCCTCAGCTGGACACTGGGTGAGCTGGGCCAGCACTCAAGGATGGGGTCCTGGAGGTTGGGGTGACCCTTATTAAGACTAACCAGCCCATGACTCCTCCAAAGGTTATGTAGCCTGGAGCAAGTGACTCAGCCTTCCTGAGCCTCCGTTTCCTGAAGGTGCCACTGTGGCTTTGCCTATTAGAAACTGAAGATGCTGCTGGGTGTGGTGGCTCACACCTGTAATCCCAGCACTTTGGGAGGCCGAGGCGGGTGGATCACGAGGACAGGAATTCAAGAACAGCCTGGCCAACATGGTGAAACCCCGTCTCTACTGAAAATATGAAAATTAGCCAGGCATGGCGGCGGATGCCTGTAATCCCAGCTACTTGGGAGACTGAGGCAGGTGAACTGCTTGAACCCGGGAGGCAGAGTTCGCAGTGAGCCGAGATCGTGCCACTGCACTCTAGGCCTGGGCGACAGAGTGACTCCATCTCAAAAAAAAAAAAAAAAAAAAGAAAAGAGAAACTGAAGATGCTCAGCAGGTGGGCAGCATGGCCTCTAGGGGGTAGGAGGTGGTTTTTTGGCTGACGGCAGTGAGGGGAGGAATAGAACCTGGAGTAGCCCAAGCAAAGGGGCCTTGATGCTAGATGGGTGTTACCTGAGGACTTCCATAAGGACCTCCTGTGGCCAGGGCTTCTATGGGCTGTGGCTTATGTCTCATGTGTCATTCTCCAGGGAAGCGCCGCCGAGCTGCTATGGATTTCCCTGGAGCCAAGGTCATTGTTCCCCAGCTGAAGGGCAAGGTGCAGCGGAGGCGTGTGGGGTTGATGTGTGAGGGGGCCCCGATGCGGGCACACAGTCCCATCCTGAACATGGAGGGTACCAAGATTGGTAGGTGGACCAGGGAAGCTGGGAAGCCCTTGTCTCTTCCCCAGGAGGGTGGGGGCACTGCAAGGTGGTGCTAATGCATGGCTTATGCTTGCTTGACAGGTACTGTGACTAGTGGCTGCCCCTCGCCCTCTCTGAAGAAGAATGTGGCAATGGGTTATGTGCCCTGCGAGTACAGTCGTCCAGGGACAATGCTGCTGGTAGAGGTGCGGCGGAAGCAGCAGATGGCTGTGGTCAGCAAGATGCCCTTTGTGCCCACAAACTACTATACCCTCAAGTGAGGATGGCTCAGGGTGGGGCTGTCCCCTCCAGGAGTCTTGCCTTGGAGGGCATCCTACAAGGGGTTAGTCAATCAGCTGAGGCAGAACTCACTAGGGGTGGGCAGCTAAGGTGGAGGCTGATTCCAATTGTCTGGTTGAGGGGTCATACCACCTATTCCCCCCACCTAACTCATGCCACTCCAGCTTCCTTCAGGACCCTGCTTCTGAGTGACGGACCAGCTCACACAATGTCTTGAGTCCATGATCCCACTGACCCACTCTTGCCTGCTGGAGGGTAATGAGAAACTTTGGTTCTGCCATCTCTCCCACTCTGCCAGGTGCTGGCTGTGGAGCAAAGGCTCACCTTTGTGGGGAGGATAAAACCTGCCCAACCTACCTCACAATGGTTTTTCACATTGCAAAGGGTAATAACATGGGCGGTGTGGACTTAGGCCACCCCCTCCAGTTTGCTTTCCATAAATGCAAATTGTCCCTACTGCAAGTCAGGAATGATTGCTGACTCATAGTAGGGCTGCTATGCCTGTGTATAAACTTGGGAATGGCTGAGGGAACAGAGACTTACTCTTCCACATTCCCAAGTTGGTCTAGTGTGCTGCCCAGTAGCAAACCATGGCAGGCTCACCACCTATTCTGAGCTCCAGGGCTGTTGTAGGGCAGGGTGGGCTTCCTCCCAGACTTGCCTTACCCTGGGCTGACCTTTGCCCCTGGTATGCATTAATGGACTCCACTGAATCCTGAAAAAAAAATTAAACTTCCTTCCTACTTGCCAGTCTCTAGCTTCATTGTTCTTTGTTCACAGGGTTCCTGAAATGCCAACCCAGTGCCTGCCTTCCTGGCCTCCAAGACAAGCTTGGAATAGGTTCTCCTTGAAAGGGGCCAGTCTATAAGAATGGAGATATTGCCTGTTGGGCACCCCATCCCTGCTCCTCCAGGGAGCTGGCATCACCTCTCCCCTCCCTGCAAGTTGTTGCATCTGGGTCCCAAGGGGCAGCAGCTTCCAGGATGTTCCCTCTCTCACTGCCCCTATGCATGCATACCCTTGTTCTGTCTGAATAACCACAACAACCGATGCACTTCCGTGTTTAATAAGCCACATCCTCAGTTGAGCCTGGGGTGAAATGTGAGATCCTGACTCTGTGCAGTAGTATCAGTGGGTGGGCCTGGGGCTGTGAAGACCATCATCCTCAGTACAGCTGCAATTCCAGTGCCCCTCTACCACAAAGATGGCTTAGGCAAAGGCAACCAGATGGAAGTGTGACATCCAACAGGGAGGAAGTAGGCAGGGGTCACTAAAGTGGCTGGTGGCCCAGCGGATGGAAGCAGAAGTATGGCCATGAGGGAAGGAGGCAGGTCCAGGGCTACAGTGCTTTCAGGTACTGGTGTTTCTATAGGGGCATTTGCCACCCACGCCTTTGGAAACTCCTCTGGCCTATTGTGACATGGCAGGGCTGCCTGGTTCTTGAAGGCAGAGAAGATGCTAGTGGGGAGGAGCTGAGGCTGTGACATGCGTTTGTACCAGGTCCAGATGGGTAATGATGAGGCTACAGGCTATGATGGGGCCACTGTGCACTAAATGCTTGTTACCATCCTATGAGGGGACAAGGTACAGACCCACATTCCCATACGCACTTAAGCAGTGGGGGGTAGGAGGCTACCCCAGCGGTTCAGCTGTGCTCCTTCAGGTACTCAGCTTACCCCCAAGAAGGACTGAGAGGAATATGAGTAGGACAGTTGGCAGATGACAATTTCCTTTGCCTGGCTCACAGGAGAAATCTGATTGGGCCAGGGATGTGGGTGTTTGGTGCCTCGATCTGGATGGTGCCAGCAGGGACACCACCCTGCCTTATACCTGAATGGCCAGCTAAATAACCATAGAGCTTAAGGTCTGGCTCAGGTCAGGACTCCCTGGCTCCTTGCCAATAAAGCAAAACCAGGGATTCAGAAAACTCAGGGCTTAGGAGAAAACAGATCTGCCTTACAAATCCCAGAGCTGGTCAACCTCAGGCTTCCTCTCAGGAAAAAAATTTTTTTTTTTTTTTTTTGAAATGGAGTCTCGCTCTGTCACCCAGGTTGGAGTACAACGGCGCAATCATAGCTCACTGCAACCTCTGCCTCCCAGGTTCAAGCGAATCTCCTGCTTAGCCCCCTGAGTAGCTGGGATTACAGGTGTGCGCCACTACACCCGGCTAATTTTTGTATTTTTAGTAGAGATGAGGTTTTCACCATGTTGGTCAGGCTGGTCTCGAACTCCTGACCTCGTGATCCGCCTGCCTCAGCTTCCCAAAGTGTTGGGATTACAGGCGTGAGCCATCGCGTCTGGCCAACTCAGGAAATATTTTTATGGGATCATATCTCGGGGATGAGAAGAGGGACAGGAAAAGAAACCTAAGACAAAAGAACTGATGGCCTTCGCAACCCAGAGGCTTCCTGAGTTATCACCCCTGAGAGAGGAGGAACACAATCTCTCTCCTTAAGGCACCCAGATAAGGGTACAGGCAAACTCTTCCCTTGCCCAGTGCCTGGATGAGGGCGTAGGGCCAAGAGGCAGAACAGGCCCAGCCCTGCAGGCACTGGGTACCCTGCTACCAACCCTGAACCCCCGGCAGTTGTCCCTGAGGTCTGGGGAGTAGCAGAACCCAGTGTAGAAGCCAGCAGACCCAGTGATGCCCTTGGAGACCCTCTGCTGCCTTCCCTTATTCTCTGTGGGTTTTGAGAGGTTCGTTTGCTGCCATTTCCCTGAAAGTGATGGAGAGAGAGAAGAGAGAGGGGTTATTCCATGGGCAGAACAGTTGATGAAATTGGCTCTCCCAAGCTCCTTCTTGAGGGTTGAGCTAGGCTCAGTAAGGTCACATAACAATCTAGACCTCTCTGCTGATCTCCCACAGCCCACCCTGGGCCCAGCACCTTCTCCCTGCAGACCCATTCTTCTTCCTGGTTCTCCATGTTAGTATGGCATTGCCATCCTTCTCTTTTTTTAATTATTCTTTTTATTTATTATTATTGTTATTATTTTTCTTTTTTTGAGAAGGGGTTTCACTCTTGTTGCCCAGGCTGGGGTGCAATGGTAAGATCTCAGCTCACTGCAGCCTCCACCTTCTGGGTTCAAGCAATTCTCCTGCCTCAGCCTCCCAAGTAGCTGGGATTACAGGCGCACGTCACCACACCCAGCTAGTTTTTGTATTTAGTGAGATGGGGTTTCGCCATGTTGGCCAGGCTGGTCTCAAACTCCTGGCTTCAGGCGATCTACCCTCCTCTGTCTCCCAAAGTTCTAGGAACAGGCGTGAGCCACCATGCCCGGCCTATTATTTTTTTTGAGATAGAGTCTCACTCTGATGCCCAGGCTGGAGTGCAGTGGCGTGATCTGGGCTCACTGCAACCTCTGCCTCCTGGGTTCAAGTGACTCTCATGCCTCAGCCTCCCGAGTAGCTGGGATTACAGGTGTACACCACCATGCCAGCTACTTTTTTCTATTTTTAGTAAATATGGGGTTTTGCTATGTTGACCAGGCTGGTCTCAAACTCCTGACCTCAAGTGATCCGCCCATCTCGGCCTCCCAAAGTGCTGGGATTACAGGCATGAGCCAGGGGGCCTGGCCTCTTCTCCAAGACAGAAATCTGGGCAGTGGCAGCCTTTCTAACCTCTAGCCCTAACTCTTGGACCCCTTTATCTACTTGCCATGAAGTAGGCATTTATAAAGGCAAATTAGATCAGATCACAGCCTTGCTGAGTTAGTCTTTCAATGGCTCCCAGGGTCCAACAAGCTCTCACGTTCAAGCTCCAGCATTGAAGTCTTACCTATTCTAGTATGTCACCCTTATCCTTCCCTCTTAGCCTTGCTCTATCCATTCCCTTTGCCAGGTACATTTTGTCACCCTGTGGCCTTTGATCTCGGCTTAGGTGTCTTTCTTGGGAGATGCCTTCCCTGACCACCCCTGCCCCATGCACCCCTAATAAATCCCTGGCTCCCCATGAGCAGGGCCCGGGTTTTCTTTGTTCTCTGGGCCTCGTGTGGTCCCTATCATGTGATAGGGGCCCAGAGATTATCTGAATGAATGCCCTGATTAGTGAGTGCATGTTTTGCAGAAGAGGAGGCTGACCCTGATGAGGTCAATGTGCTAAGGACAGAGATTACTGCCTTTCCAACTGAGGGGATTGTGCGGAGTGGAATCCAACAAACATGTCATTTCATCTCTCTGAAATTATGACAATACCACCACCTGTCCTACAGGCTGCTGAACAACATGCTGATGGACTGTCCAGACCTTGATGTCATCCTAACTCAAAGCCTGAACTCTACGTGCAGACTTGAAGCTTGCTGCAAAGGCTATTAAGCTGGTGGGCTTACAGCCTGAGAACTCCCTTCTCTGTCACCAGCACAGGAGTGTCCTTGGAATGCCAAGCATGGGGTTGCGGTATGGACAGATTTACTCACCACGAAGGGAAATGCGTGGAGCCATCAGGCGTGGATCCATTCTGACCACCCAGACCTGGAGGCAAAAACACATCCAGAGCTGCAGCAGGCTGGGGTGGGGATCTGAGCAGGCATCAGCCCAGGTCAGGTTAGAGACCACTGGTATTGTTTGGTGAAGTCTAGTAAGGGTCCTAAGGGACTAATCGTATTGCCAGGTGAGAGTTCTGAGGAACAGATACAATGTGATGGGTGGACTGGTGGAGATTCTGGCGTAAAATGGTATGGTGGCATGAGTCAAGGTACAACGTTAAGTTCTCTCATCCAAGTACCCGGCTTAGCTTCGTGGTCAGATGCGTTCAGGGTGGTAAGGCCGTGAACCAATGTTAAGTTCTGATGAGCCTCTTGCAGGATAGTTGGGGAACCCAGTGATACAGTCGGGAGAGGGTGGGGGCGGGGGCGGCCAGCCCACGGAAGTTCGTAGGAAGCCTCACCTGGACGGTGATACAACCCGGTCACTGTATTCCCGTAGAACCCCCAGGCCAGCTGGATGCCCAGGAGACTTAACACCAACCACAGCAGCAACAGCTTGAAAAGGGTCACGCGCATGTCCTGCGCCTCCCACTCCCTCAAGAATTCGCTGCCCAGCGCGCCCAGCGCATCCAGTACCGTGGCCGGTAGAGCCTGCAAGGCCTGCCCAGACCAGGGCTCCGCCATGACTGGCCCTCGCCCCACCCGGGGTACTGTCACCGTAGTCCCTACCACGCACGCGTGTGATCTTCCGGGGCCAGGCCCGTTAGTACGCACGCGTAAATCTAGGCAGGGCGGGGCCTACTTCGCTTGAGCGAAGTGCTGGCAGTTTGGGGAGGAGTATTAAAACCGCGCACGCGCACCTAGCCCCACCCTGCTTGGTTAAGGGATGAGTGACTCCGGGAGTACAAAATAGCAACCAGGTCTTTTATAGCCCCGGAGTTCCCGTGATGCCCCACGCGGCTGCAATGATTGGTTAAGGGTTTTGCTTTTAGGGCGTGGCCGCGCTCCTGAGCAATAGTGGATGAGCTGTGAGTGCGCGCGCGTGCGCGGGGCCGCGACCTGGGTCGGCTCGAGCCCGCTGGGCACTCGGGGGCGCGCACGTCGTTCTCCGCCCTCCCGCCGCCGCCCGCCCTCGCTCCCTCGCGCTCCCCTCCCGCCGCCCGCGGTCCTCCGTCGGTTCTCTCGTTAGTCCGTGGTCTGGTCTTCAGCTACCCGTCTTCGTCTCCGAGCTTGCGACTCGCGGACCGGCGTCCCCGGCGCGAAGAGGCTGGACTCGGATTCGTTGCCTGAGGTGAGCGGAAGGGTTCCCTCCAGGCGCCGCGGGGCCC